CCAGGTGGGTCTCGAACCCGCGGGCTCAGGCAGTCCACTCACCTCAGCCTCCCAAGGCACAGGATTACAGGCTGAGCCACCGAGCCCGGCTGAGTTAAGTGTTACACTAGACTTAACTAGTCACTCGATCAGTGGAGTAAATCATTGTTTCTTAAATATTCATGCTTATCTTCATGTGTTCTAAGTTGTACCTGTTTCTCACTTTCCATCCAGGTCAAGACTGATACAGTTCTTATCTTATGTAGAAAGAAAGCAGAAAACACTAGTTGGGACTACCTGACTCAGGTTGAAAAAGAGTGCAAAGAAAAAGAGTGAGTCTACTTTCATTTCTTTAAGAATTTTGATGTATTCTTTGCGATAATTATAGATTTTTAATAGTTTGTCTTTATGGATAATATGTATCTGCTCTCAACTGTCAGAACTTACTCACGTGTCCTGTTCTTTAGTACAGCTCTTAACATAGGACCCAGTTGTGCTTCTGTATAAGTACAGTGCCTGTTCCCAGCTAACTGTCTTTTAGTTGTTCCAGAGAGACTGAGATACCCATGTATGTTTTTTAATTCTTCAGAGGTTTCTGATATATAGTGAGTTTCACTGTCACTAGGTGAGAGGGGGAAAAATGTTTATTCAAAGATACTTCCATTGTAGGTGAGTTGCTCTTCTGTTTTAAATCTTCTGCAGTGATGGTGTATGCATTGCATCAGTGAGCTGGCCACAGTCTCGCCTCTCTTCTGATAACCAGTGTGCATTTGGGGCGTGGTTGCTACAGTTAGAAATACCAGACTCTCTGGGGAATTGATCTTCAATCTAGATTGAATTACCTGAGTACAGGCCTGTCTTATTCTTACTGTATTCCCAGTGCCAGTATAGAATTTGGCACTTAGTAATGAATGAATAATTAAATGTAAAGTTAATTGACCCAGTTTGGACACTGATTGAACTAGAAGTACTGACCATATTAATTGAAGGTGATGCTCTCACCACCAGACCCAGTTCCACATGTCTCAGGCTTAAGAGGAGGGCATTTCTCATTATAAAGTATGAGTTTCTATGTGCATCATGTAATACATGCTTGTGTTTTTCCTTCAATAAAGGTTTTTTATAATTATGAAGAAACATGCTTTAAAAAAATTAAAACAAGTCAGAAAAGTAAATATTTACTTACTATATGTGCTACAAATCACTGGAAATCTCAGTGCCCCTATTTTGATGGCCATGTTTCCGGCAGCAGATGTGTGTGTTTGGTGTTTTCATGAAGATGGATTTGTGTGTGCTTTCTTGATTGTGAATGTCTTAAAATACTCCATCTTCCTCTTGTGTATAATCTTTACCCTCCTCCCAGTGTTCAGGGCCCAAGTTGTACCTTTGCATCCTTTCATTTCTTCATATTGTATGTGTTTTCTTTTAACAGAAAGCCTTCACATGACACTGAAACAGATCCTAATGAGGGGCTGATGAATGTTCTAAAGAAAATTTATGAAGATGGAGATGATGACATGAAGCGAACCATTAATAAAGCCTGGGTGGAGTCGAGAGAGAAGCAAGCCAAAGAAGACACAGAATTTTGAGACTTTGAAGTCTTTTTGGGAACTGTGATGTGGAAATACTGATGTTTCCAATAAGGCAATGTTGGTGAGCTGCACATACAAATTTACAAGATAACTATTTACATCGCCTTTTTCTAAGTAAAGGCAGTGAATTCTTCATTTCCTACGGGAGGATTTATGAAAATAAAAGATGTTTATCAAACACTTGCAAAGATGGCTTTATTAGTACGTTGGTCATTTTGTTGAAGAAAGGGTTATATTGCATTCTCATGTGAAATGTAGAAGGCAAGTCTTGCCTAATGAAAATGCTACATTGTATGTATCTTTGTTCAGCTAAGAGGTGAGGGGGGAAAGCATTCACTTGTTAAATTAATTCCCACCAGTGTAGGAATAAGAGTGCAACCTGAGTCTGTACCTGTGCTTGAAGGTTGCTGTGAATCAGCCAACCCTTATTGCAGCTTCAGCAGTGTATATACCGTGTGTTACCATGCACTAATAATCCAGTCACAGATGTTTCTATGTTTTAAATATATTTGTTTATGAATACAGAATAGAAATGAATTCTAAACTTGACAAAAATAGACACACATCTTTGTATAGTAACAAATAATAAGTTTTGCCATTGATCAAATGGCTTACAAAAGTAATAACCGCAAAGCAAAAAATAATTGATTTAAAAGTCCACTATTACTCTGTTCAATAAAGTTAAATTTTTCTTTAATGGAATAGTTTTACTATCTGTTTGTCTAGGGGTACATCAGAAAAGTCAGGCTTTTAGGGGGAGTTTATCAGGAACCTGAACAAGGTGCTATAATCTCTATTCCTATGTTGTATTAGAGGCATTAGCCAATGCAGTTAGGTAAGAGAAAGCAATTCCGGCCAGGTGCGGTGGTGTGCATCTGTAGTTCTAGCTACTTGCGACCCCAAGGCGGATGATCACATGAGCCCAGGAGGTTGCGGCTACAGTGAACTATGATTGTGCTACTGTACTCCAGCCTGGGTAGCAGAGTGAGACGCCATCTCAGAAAAAAAAAGCAATTAGATACACTGAGGAAAGATCCAAACAGATCAACCAAGACAACTACAATTAATAAGAGAATTTGGAAAAAGTGGTAGGATTTAAGGTTAAAACACAGAAATAGCCTATATACAGGATAGCTGGTGGTAAATCCTGAAGCACATTATAATTCTTCTATAATTGTGGTGTTGGCACAATAGGCCAATGGAATGGAATAGTAGGCCCAATGCATGTGAAAGAGAGAATACAGTGAAAGTGGAATTTTTTTTTTTTGAGTTGGAGTCTCTTGTTCAGGGTGGAGTGCAGTGGCATGCCCACAGCCACCACAGCTTCGACCTGCTTGGCTTAGGTGATCCTTCTGCCTCAGCCTTCGAAGTAGCTGGAACTACAGATGCACGCCACCACGCCCAGCTAGTTTTTGTGATTTATTGTAGAGACAAGTTCTCACCAACTTGTCCAGATTGGTCTTCGACTCCCCAGGCTCAGGCAATCCTCTCGCCTCAGCCTCCCAAAATGCTGGGATTACAGCCTGAGCCACCATGCCTGGCCAAAAGTGTTACTTTAAAACAGTGGGAAGATGGGGTTTTTCATTTTTTGAGTTGGGTTCTTTGTTGCTTAGGCTGAAGTACAGTGGCGTGATCAAAGCTGCTCATACCCAGTAATTTAAAATTTTTTTTTATAGAGACAGGGTCTCGCTATGTTGTCCAGGCTGGTCTCAAATTTCTGGGTTCAAGTGATCCTACTATCTCTGCCTCCAGAAATTCTGGGATTACAAGCGTGAGCCATCACAAATGGCTAGAAAGATGGATTTTTAATGATACTAAAACAACTAAAAATAGATTGAACGTCTAATTGTAAAAATGAAAGCACACAAATGTAATACTGTGGAATTCCTTTGTAAGAGTGGCAGAAAATGACAGATGACTTAAAATCTCCAAGGAATAAAACTGTTGATCAATTTTTTTTTTTTGAGTTGGAGTCTCACTTTGTCACCCAGGCTGGAGTGCAGTGGCACACTGCTCATGGCTACTGCTGCCTCCATCTACTGGGCTTAGGAGATCCTACCACCTCAGCCTTCCAAATAGCTGGAACCACGCCCCGCTCATTTTTTGATTTATTGTAGAGACGAGGTCACGCCAACTTGCCCAGGCTGGTCTCGAACCCGTGGGCTCAGGTAATCCTTTTACCTCTACCTTACAAAGTGCTGGGATTACAGGCATGAGCCACCCTGTCAGGCCCTCTTGATCAATTTTAATTACATAAATAAATGTTTAAGTGGCAAGAAAAAAGCCTACCATGATGAAAAAAGTAAAGACGTGTTGAGAGGATTCTGACAATTACGGACAAATACAGAAAAAGAAATATAAATGATCTTGAACAGGTATTGGTACCTTGTTCAGAAGAGAAACACTAAAAACCTACAGTTCTTTCATTGGAAAGTTTAACACATTGTATCGTGTGTAGAGGATATGGAGGAATTAGGACCTGTATACATGAGGATGGAAAGAAAAGAAACTTTAGTTAACCCTCATGGAAGAGTATTAGGTGATATCTATCAGAATTACATATGCATTTATCCTCTGACTCAAAATTCTACCTCTGAGTTCTGAAAGGTAAACTGGCAAAAATTTGGAGTGATATATGCAAAAGATTGGAAATGCCCAAATGCCTTACTATATCCACTGAAGAAGTACTTACAGTCAAAAAAAATGAAGAAGATTCTGTAGAGTAACGTAGGATGGTCAACAGGATGGGTAAGTAGAAAAGAAAGTCAAGGACATTACAGTGTACATACTACATTTGAGGAAGAAAGGGTGAGAAATGTGAATATGCGTACATATGTGTATTTGTATTTCAGAAAGCCCAATGAATAAACCAAAAACTAATACAAGTTGTTAAACAGGGGAAAGAGGAAACGAGGACATCTCTATACTTACGTCAACGTACCCTTTTTCTATATTCTGATTCTAAAACCATCTAAAATTTGAAAACAAAACTTAGCCCATTCCTGCTACTGTAACAATAGACTTAAACGAGGTAATTTATAAATAGAAATTAATTTATAGTTCTGGAGCTGTGAAGTACAAGCTTTGATGTCTGGTAAAGTCTTGCTTTCTGCTTCTGAGATGGTACCTTGCAGTATCCTCATGTGGCAAAAGGGGCAAACTCAATCTCAAGCCCTTTTGTAGGGTGCTAGTCTCATTCTTGGGGTGGAGCCCTCCTGGCCTAATCACCTCCTAAAAGTTCCACCTCTCCTATTGCTTTGGAGATTGTTTCACTGAATTCTAGAAGTACACAAACTCAGTACAAACTACAGTATGCATACCAAATTGGCAGTACAAATTACTTTCAAGTAACCTTAGAATAGTATATTGACTGCATTCTAGAGAAATGGAGTTTATGGACAAAAAGAATCATATTGTATCTAAAACTACCATTAGTAAAATTAGTACACTGAAACTTTATATTGACAAGGTAAGTGATTTAGCTGATGTCATTAGAAACTTAAGATTTTTACAAAAAAAGTGATAGAAATATAAAATCAATATAAACTGACTTGTTTTTTTGAATTGGAGTCTCCCTCTCGTCCTGGCTAGAGTGTGGTGGCACAATCAAGGTTACCACAGCCTTGACCTCCTGGGCTCAAGTGATTCTTTCATGCCAACCTTCCAAGTAGCTGGGATTACAGGTGCACACCTGGCTAATTTTTTGATTTATTGTAGAGATGAGGTCTCACTATGTTGCCCAGGGTGGTCTCAAACCCCTGGGCTCAGGCAATTCTCTCACCTCTGCCTCCCAAAGTGCTGAGATTACAGTCATGAGCCACTGCACCCTGTCACCATTATTTTTAAGCTCTAAAATAAAATGCTTGTTTTGGCAGTTTGTACTGCCAGCTTGGTATGTATGTTAAGGTTTGAATGTTATAATCTTTTAACAGAGAACACCTTATTGATGCAATAAATAATAAATATAAGGTTCAGAAATTTAAAAGGACAAAAATCTGTCACTGTTTAGATGATTATAAGAATTTAATTAGAAAAACCTAAAATCTGTAAAAAACTAAAGACATTAAGTTTTTTAGATACAAAATTAATTGGCTGTCAATATGTCTACACACTAACAACAACCAATTTAAGAAGGTAAATAAAAACAGCCCATTCATTCATGCCACAAAAACCATAAGGTGTTTGGAAGTATATTTAACAATAAAACCTCTACAAGGAACTTTTTAAAAAATTGTATCAACATAAAAGACCTCAATAAAATGTATGGAAAGACTGAACAACATTAATATATCAATTCTTCCTAAATTAGTTCATAAATTCAATACATTTGATAGCTCAAAAATTTAATATAAGCCTTGATAAATTGATCAAAAAGATTCACACTGAAGAACAAAGGAACAAGTAGCCAAACAAAATTTTAAACAAACGTAAAAGAAAAGGGGATTTGCCCTACTAGATACCAGAGATTTATAAGCTTGACTAATGAAACACACTACCTCAAGAACAGACCAACAGACAGAATTACAAGCCCAGCAACAAAACTAAGGTGGTTGAAAGGGTAAACTGAGGCAGGGTGGGTCAGTGCCATGGGAATAATGCAGGATTTCAACAGAGAAGAAAGTAAAGTTTATTATTCACCTTTCACAGATGAAAAGGGGGCCAGCACTCAGGCGAGTGTGGCGTGGAAGGCCGGAAGCCAGGTGTATTTAAGACCTCCAAAGCAAGCCTTTAAGCTAGGAGAGTTTAGATCCGGAGGAGGTCTGGACCAAAAGGAATGTCCAGGGTTGCATTCTTTGGTTTCCATAGCAGTCACATGAATCTCGTATCATTTTTTTTTTTTTTTTTTGAGTTGGAGTCTCACTCTGTCACCCAAACTGGAGTGGAGTGGCTGCTCCCGGCCACTACAGCCTCGACCTGCTGGGCTTCCGTGATCCTTCCGCCTCAGCCTTCCAAGTAGCTGGAACTACAGGCACACGCTACCGTGCCCGGCTAATTTTTGATTTATTGCAGAAATGAGGTCTCGCTAAATTGCCCAGGCGGATCTCGAACCCACGGACTCAGGCAATCCACTCGCCTCAGCCTCCCAAAGTGCTGGGATTACAGGCTGGGCCACACCGAGCCCAGCCAAGGTTTGAATGTTTGCTAGCAAGACCCAACAAAAAGACCTAATGCAATACAATTTGGTAACAACAAGCACTCCCTAGTGCTCAGTGTGGTCGCTAAACACAATTTCCTACTAAAAGGACAAGGAAGCCGGGCTCAGTGGCTCAGCCTGTAATCCCGCGCCTTTGGGAGGCTGAGGTGAGTGGATTGCCTGAGCTGGCGGGTTCGAGACCCGCCTGGGCAGCGAGACCTCATCTCTACAATAAATCAGAAAATCAGCCGGGCGTGGTAGCGCATGCCTGTAATTCCGGCTACTCGGAAGGCTGAGGCGGAAGGATCGCCGGAGCCCAGCAGCTTGAGGCTGCGGTGGCCGGGAGCGGCCACTGCACTCCAGTCTGGGCGACTGAGTGAGACTCCAACTCCAAAAAAAAAAGGACAAGGAACCCTTGGGGAAAATGTCTGAGGCAGGAAATGTTCAAGGTAAGTCTGGGTTAGCTTATGCCAGAATTCAAGAAAATACTGAATAATCCTGTACCAAATCAGGTTACAGGAGTAAATTTAAGGGTCTCCCGCTGGTAATGGGACAATTTGAGCATCAAAAAAGAATGGAGTGGATTGAAACATTAAATATCTACAAAATCTAAGTTCATAATGATAGTGAAAAATAAATGGTTATTATTTCATTGGCTAGAGTACCAACTTATTTTTAAAAAATATTTATTTTTTGAGTTGGAGTCTGTCACCCAGGCTGGAGTGCAGTGGCATGCTTATGGCCACCGCAGCCTCAACCTGCTGGGCTCAGGCGATCCTTCTACCTCAGCTGGAACTACAGGCGCATGCTACCATGCCCAGCTTATTTTTTTGTTTATTATAGAGATGAGGTCTCACCAAGCTGCCCAGGCTGGTCTCGAACTCCTGAACTTAGTCAATCCTCTTGCCTCGGCCTCCCAAAGTGCTAGGATTTCAGGCTTGGGCCACCGTCCCAGCCTAAAATAATATTTTAAAGATGTGGAGTGCAATTCAGGAGTAGGTATATACGTTGTCAACATACATGTGAAGTTTGGACCTCCCATTGGTTCTTCACCTGGTTTAGGATCCGTTACCCTTATTGATGTTATGTGCCTCACCCCTTCCCTGGCAGTGTCACACCACTGCCAGTCCCTTTCTTGTATGATAAATGTTCAGCATCCACTTGTGAGTGAGAACATGTGGTACTCAGTTCTTTGTTTCTGTGATAGATCTCTGAGTATGATAGACTTTAAAGAGCACCAGTTCATTTACTCTGCTAGAGAATCATCCTTTTGTTGAAGAAATGTGTTTTAGGGGAATACACTGTCGATAAGGGGAAGTTCCTGACCGAAAAATACAGTCAATACAGAAAATTGATAGAAAGCCATCAGTGTAACCCTTATTGAAATGAAAGATCAGGGTAGCAATCACCAGTGCAATGTAAAAGCCATTAGGTGATAGGTTAATGAATGAGAACTTTAAATGCAGGGAGCAGGCTGACCCCATTTTGAACCCACTAGTCAATCTAAGCATCATTAAAAGTTGGACAATTAGATAGATATACACCTCCTGATGTGACAGTTCACAGCACAACTGATGAAAATTCATTTCTAAAAAACAATCCAAATGAAGACCAGCCTCTGGATATGACTACCAGTTTACAGGAAATTTGGGGGACAGAGGAATATATTAAAAGACCCATGAAAGAAGTAAACAGGCAAATGCTGGCATTCCATAGGATGAATGGCTTAGCTCTTTTAATTAATGACAAAAGGAATGGAGGGGCTTATGGAGCAAGATAATGTAAGACAGCAACCGAACGAAATCTATGGACCATACTTGAACTCATTCAAACCAAAGGCTACAGGGTTTCCCATCAATGATAGATGCCAGAAACCAGCAAATGTGTTCTAATTATCCAATTAACACAAGTTACTGGTTGAGATGTTAACTAGAACATTCCAGTCGGTAAGTAGCCACATACTTTAGCAAATGTGGATCAAAGGTATATCATAATAATTCCCTCATACCTGAGTTCCAGACTTGCTATCCAGTTGTATGCTAGTCTGTCAGAGGACACAGACATCTCAAACATCACATGACTGAAACCCATCCTCAAATTTTCTATCCGGAATTACCCTCTACCATCTATCTAGATGCTTACCAGGAACCCAGAGAGCTGTCTTGACCAAAAATATAGTCAGTGTTGCCTAATTTTCTTTCCTAAATAATGCTTTAACAATCTCCCGGGTCTTCTCCTCCACTAATACCACTACCTTAGTGCAGGCTCTTGTCTTCCACAACTCAGATGTCCTAAGTGTCATGCCTATCCTCCTCTCATGGCCAGTGGCCATACATGTCACTTACATAGAGAACAATGATGTCGAGTCTTGCCTCCTTCATGTCAGGACTCCTTGTGAGAACTCCATATGGCCCTTCTGCTCCATGTTTCTGACACCCTAAAGTGACGGGGTTTTCTCGAGGCTCTCTCTGCCTTTGTTCCCTTCTGTTTACAGAATGATTAGCCTCATCTCGTCTTCTGATTTAAGTTCTCCAGAAATATCATCCTGATGGCAAGTGGGTGCTTCCACACGACTTTTTATATTTTCATCACTGGGCTGATCACACTTTGAGTTATCACATGAGAGAACTTATTGCCACCTTTACTCATTTCTGTTACAGATTAAATATGAAGATAGGGAATATATGCTATTCCAATAAAACTTGTCCTCTTTGGATAGATTTTCAAGGGTTTAAAGGAGTATAGTTTGTTTTTAAGGCCTTTAAAGATGACACCTAGTGGTTCTTCTGTTCAGCCATCACACAAAGAAGTTCAGCATTAGTTCGATAATCCAGAACATAAGATTTGCCATCCAACCTATTGTTTATCTAACAATAAACCAATAGTAAGGTGACTGCTACATGTCAGGAAATCTAGCCCTGGATTACAAATTGCCATACATGAGCTATATGTCAAGTAGCTGGATTATCTAGATAATATTGTTTTATGAAAGAATGCTCTTTAAAAAACAACCCTTATAGGCTACTAAAAGATTAAACTTGAAGTAAAAAGACAGCACATAAAACATATTCTCACATAAGATATTCTTTATTATTCTACTCTTTGCACCATGTATGGAAACAGTATGTTTAATCCATAAAATCCAGAGAAAAGATAATTCATTGACAAAATGAAAAATATCCACATCTTCATCTAAAATTTAAAAGTAACTATAGACAGCCTCAGGTAGACTAGACAATTCTGCTGGGCCCCCACAAAGACCAGGTTTTGTCTATTAGAAAGTCTCTTGCTGGAAGTGGCTTCCTGCAAGTTCAGTGGGTCTGGAGATGGTTTACCACATTGCTCGCTGCACCCCAGAAAGCTGCCCATGGTCAGCTAAGTGTCGGAAGACGATCCGACTCAGCCTCCAGCGCCGCTTGACACCACGTGGACGGGACGTCATGACACACCGATTTCTGATTCTAACGGGACAGCTATCCCGGGGAAGGGCAGCAATTTCTCCATCAGCCACTTCCTAAGGGAGAGCACATCACACAGATCATTTGTATTGTCACACATGCTGTAACTTGCTGATTCTCACTGGTGGCAATTTTTGTTGTGCAAGCACCATAACTCATTCGTCCATTCTATAGCTGGTGGTCATCTGGGCAGTGTCCAGTCAGCTCTTATGAATAGTGCTGCCACCTACATCCTTGTTTAAATCATCTGGAAAATACATGAATGTATTTCTGTTGTCTCTCCATATGGTCTCTGAATCATGAAAGTCTGAACCTCAGGAAAACCTTGACGATCCAAAGGAATGTGGCTTGTGATGAAACTAGAGGGGGGAAGGGCAGGACCACAGTCTGGACATCTGTGGTAAAGATCCTGATCACGGGAGAAGTCATTGGGAGTGATCTAGTGGGATTCACATCGTAAAATTCATCTGCAGTGCAGTGTGCCTGGTAAGGGCCAAGTGGTTGAAGACAGCGAAGTGAGGGCTGCAGCAGAAGCTTGGGCTAAGGTTTGTCAGGAGAGATTTATTCTTATGTATGTGTTGAAGAGTGTGTGTTGGAAATATTCACTTTAATAAGTATGCTGACAATTATGATAGACCCTGTGCTAGACCATGGTAGAAGTACAATAACACATTAAAAGGACACAAAGTAAACAAGATAATATATGCAAAAGTCACTAAAAGCATATGCATGTGTTGCCAATCATGAAATACAAAATAATGACAGCACGACTAAGTCAGTGAATAGAAGACAGTGCTTAGAATGATCTAAGGAGGGGAAACACTGGGCGGGAAGACAGTCGAAGTTTACAGGAGTGAAACTTATTGAACGGCTACAAATGAGTTCCTTATCTACTTATGCATACCCCTCCTTCCTCCCAAAAGGCTTAAGGCAGTATATGAACGAGGAAGCTGGGGCAAAGAAAATTGAGAGGAGGAAGGAGAAAAGCCTGTGCTGTGGAAGTCCGCATGCCTGTCAGAATTGGAACATCACCTGGATTGTAACCTACCCAGCAGGCATCATAGAGCATGATCCATGTCCATAATCCTAGTCCATGCACAGCTGTCGCTCATACTGTGATACCAGAGATGCTTCTTTTGGGGGCTTCATAAATAATGTACCCAACAACACCCCTCTTCCAGTTTTATTAAGGCATAATTGACAAAATAAAAGTTGTATGTATTGAAGGTATACAGTGTCATGACTGGATACCCACAGACCATGTGAAATGACCACAACAAGGTAATGAACACATCCTGCACCACAGAGTTCCCTCTCGTTGAGTGTGGTAAGAACACTTCAGGGCCAGGTTCGGTGGCTCAGCCTGTAATCCCAGCACTTTGGGAGGCTGAGGCGAGTGGATTGCCTGAGTCTGCGGGTTTGAGACCCAGGTGGGCAACTTGGCGAGACCTCGTCTCTACAATAAATAAAAAATTAGCCAGGTGTGCCTGTAGTTCTGGCTACTTGGAAGGCTGAGGTGGAAGGATCACTGGAGCCCAGCAGGGAGGCTGCGGTGGCCGGGAGCATACCACTGCACTCCAGTTTGGGTGACGGAGGGAGACTCCAACTCAAAAAAAACAAAAAACACTTCAGATCCGCTCTCCTGACCAATTTCCAGAATACAACACAGTATTGACTACAGTCACCATGCTGCACAGTACTATTGACTATAGTCACCGTGCTGCATGTAGGTCTTCTGCAATCATACTTCTCGTAGCAGGAAGTTTATACCTCTCACCATTATCTCCCCCAGGATCCTCCATCCCACAGCCTTCCTGGCTCCTGGCCACTACCTTTCTACTCACAGCTTCAGTGACCAATAACATCTTGGGCTGAGATTTCCAGGGCCGCTTCTCACTGCTCCCTAAGGCAGGCAGCTTAATGCCATTCCAGTAAAAGTCATGCAGAGTAGTCCAGGGCCCTTAGTTTTCTGCTCATCTGGCTTAATCCAGACAAGATTTAAACAAATCCATAGTAATAAGTAGGATGAATATCATTCTGCCAACGTCTGAGTTCTTGATAAACTGAGTGGCCTTGAGTTTGAGGTATACCTCCTGACAAGCCTCTTGAATGTAGTTACTCTGTCACCACTCAGGTGCAGGACCTTATGCTTCCGGATGCCAAGCAGGGTTGAAATCCTCTTGTTCAATTTGAGGAGCGTGACAAGCAAGCATCAATGGCAAACACCTCAGCACACGGGTAGGCAGGGCTCGGAAGGCACTGCATAAGGACAGTTTAGGCCATGTACTAGGCATGCGGCCCACATCAGTAATGCCTCCTGGTGCCTGAGAGTAGAGACTGGGATGAGGTGGGGGAGAGACCTTAGGTGAAAATAACTCCCAATTTCTGTGTGGTCACCATTCATCAGCACTTTCTTAGGATCATATAATGAAATGGTTGAAAGGCTAGCTAGGAGTGAAGAGTTGTCTAATCTGAACTTCACCAAAATCAGACAAGGATATTTGTTCATGTTAACTTGGAGTATATGACTTTTTTTTTTTTTTTTTGCATTGGAGTCTCACTCCTTCGCTCAAGCTGGAGTGAAGTGGCACGCTCCTGGCCATTGCAACCTCAACCTGCTGGGCTCTGGTGATCCTTCTGCCTCAGCCTTCCAAACAGCCGGAACTACAGGCACGTGCTACCACGCCCAGTTAGATTTTGATTTATTGTAGAAATGAGGGCTTGCCAAGTAGCCTGGGTGGGTCTCAAACCCATGGGCTCAGGCAATCCACCCGCCTTGGCCTCCCAAAGTGCTGGGATTACAGGCCGAGCCACCGAGCCCAGCCAGAGTATATGACTTTATTCTCCACAAATCACGTTGATACTAAGTGACAACAAACAGTATTAAAACTGATCTGATGTGAGTTCATGACCTTGTGGTAGAAAGGAACTCATCTTAATTAGCTAACCTGAAGATCTTTTGGCAAAATGGTATTCTTCCTGAGTGAATTGATTCGTAGCCTCTCATCTGCATATTCATAGGCCATTTTTCGCCTCTTCACATCACGCAACATCCTCCAGTCTACGTAGTAACCTCGAACTTGGCCTGACGCTGATGAAGGAACCACCTACAAGGCAGAGACAGGGAACAAGTGAAGGAGTCAGACTCTGTGAGTGTTCTCAAATCCTGCGATCCTTTTTTGGTCACCATTTATGACCTCACCCAGGTTGGAGTGCAGTGGCATGCATGCTCATGGCCACCCCATCGTCGACTTACAGGGCTCCAGCAATCCTTCTGCCTCAGCCTTCTGAGTAGCCAGAACTACAGACGAATGCTACCACATCCGGCCATTTTTTATTTTATTGTAGAGACGAGGTCTCACCAAGTTACCTGGGTGGGTCTCAAGCCCGAGGGCTCAGGCAATCCACTTGTCTTGGCCTCCCAAGGTGCTGGGATTACAGGCTGAGCCACCGAGCCCGGCCCGTATTTTTTTTTTAAAGCCTTTTTGCATCAATTTAATAATTTAAAATAATAAACTTCCTAATTCAGGATAAATAATTTTATGAATGTACATTAATTCAAAGTGGTAATAATTAACTTAAAGATTTCCAAAAATGTTTAATTTAATTCACACAGTTCAAGAATCAAAAAAGTATACCTAAACAATGAAAAGTCTCCTTCCCACCTCACTCCTCACCTGCCCAGTGACCCCCACACTGCAGAGGCAGCCACTGTTGCTCGTTTCTTATATGTCCTTCCAGAAACTTTTGAATATATATATACATGTATATACTCTCCCTCCCATATTCATTCCTCCCTTTTTCAAATTAACATATTTCAGAGATCTTTCCATATCTGTGTATAAACATCTCCCTCATTTTCTTTAGATTACATAATATTCCACTGTATAGATGTATCATAGTTTACTTAATCTGTTACTTATTATTTTTTTTTCTGAAGTGTATCCCTGTTGTGGACGTGGCCTGTTTGCCGACCATATCATGTCACGCTGAAGCACCTTACAACCAAGTGGCATGCCCCTTTCCTTCTGGGGTGTGTGCAGTAGGACCGCCTCTGTATTTTCTTTCTTTTTTTTATATCAATATTTTTTATTTTGATATTGTGGGGTACAGTTAAGGGTTAGGTATACAAATATGCTTCGTTCAGGCACCCTTGTTGATAAGGGGTGTTTCCCTGTCCCCAGAGAGATATTACTACCGTTAATCCCACCTCCCTTCTCCTCCCCACCATAGTTTCCCACCACTGTCAGTCCTTTTCTTATAGTATTACGATGGTTCAAGGTCCACTATATGAGTGAGAACATGTGATACTCAGATCTTTATTTCTGTGAGAGGTCACTCAGTATTATAGACTTGAGTTCCATCCAGGTTGCTGCAAAATTTATGATTTTGTTCTTTTTTATGGCTGCGTAGTATTCTATTGTGTATATGTACCACATTTTAAAAATCCAGTCCTCTTTTGATGGATAGCATGGTTGATTCCAGGTTCTTGCTATTGTGAACAATGCTGGGAAAAACATACGTGTGCAGGTATACTTGTGACTTATTGATGGACAGTTAGACGACACCTCACTATCATCTCAAACAATACTGTAATGAAGAATGTCTTTTATAAATAATCTTATATGTATTCCTATATATCTGCAGGATAAAACTCTTAGAAGCAGAATTGCGGGTCAAAGGGTACTTGGTACTTATCACTAACCTAATATTACTTAGCACTAGTTGTCGAGTAATAACATAGTATGTTCCTCACGATCACACATTTTCACGGTAACAGTTTACAGTTCTGACTGACAGTACAAGCAAAGGGAGTATAGATCACTAGAAACTTTAGTCTCTCAAACCAGAGTAAATATAACATGTTCATTAAACTGCAGCAATAGAAAAATAATGATGGCTTTCTATAACTGATGTTTATAGAAGAAATATATGTATAGCACAATCTAAAACTGAAAACAAGCATACTATAAATAGAAAGCTAACATTTTTTCAATCTATTAACAAAAGATGACCTGAGTGACCTCAATGTTCACATTACTAAACAAAAGTCCCATGAGGAAATATTACAACTTTACAATCACCTTTTGGGAAAAAAACACAGGCAGGAATGAATTTAAATACAGACTTGGCAGAAGACCAAGTCCAGTGAACACGGTGGTAACTGTGCCTAGAAATACCTGCCATCAAAAGGGAGGCTTAGACAAGGCTTTGAAAGACTGATAGAATTTTGACGGAGTGGTGGGTGGGGGAGAGAGAAGGTAAAATTGGTCCAAGCAAACCCTGGGACAAGACAAGATAAATTTAGGAGACTAGAAAGACATTATTTCACCTGAAAGAAGCAACTCACAAGGCAGTGTGAGGTTTACTTTTACTATGAAACTGAAAGCGAAGGAGATTTGGAAAACAAGATTAAACATTGCACCTTTAAATTCTTTTTCAAACTATTTCTAATCAGCTTCCTCTTTGCTATTTTATTTTTTAAAATAATCTTATGTTCTATTTTGCACACCATTTTTTCTGAGTATAAAAGTAATACACTTTTAATATAAAACATTTTTGGCCTATTGTATTATTTCATCTGTGAAAGTTTTTATGTCCTTTGTCTACATTTCTACTGGAGTGCATTTCCTTATCAGCTTATAACAGTGTTTTATAGATTTGATTGCATTCTGTTCTGCTCTGCACACATCTTATCCTTGCCCTATCTCTCACCCTTCTTCACCTTCTAAAAACTCTACCACTTGGCCCTCTCAATTCATCAGAATCTTCTAAATCCTCAACTTCTCAGCATCTTCTTCACCTTCTGCTCTAGCTGAATCTTGAATCCCTCCTGATAGCTCCCTGAAGTTCTTTTTTTTCTCTGATGAGTAGGCCTGAAGGTAGGTAGATGTCTTCCTTGTTCTCCATTTCAGCTTCCAGATCTCCTTCCCTCCTGAAAGCTGCTGGCTTTGGCTCTCATGCCAAAAGGAGGTACTCCCACTACCTCCCATTGTTGAAGTCACCCACCATAGCCCCTACCACTCTCATTTTGCCATGATTTTGGATCCTGGCTCACTATCACCCTCTCCAATATTCTTCCTGTATTAATTCCTGGTGACTTCAATATACATGAAATTATACCGTGATCACTCTGATATCTGAACTCTCTCCTTCAGTGATTTTGGTCCTCCACTCCTTTTAAACTATTCACCTCTATGCCCCAGGTCCTTTTTTTTTTTTAAACCAATAAGCATAACCTCTCTATTATCTCAGTTTTGTGTATCTCATTCTTTATCTCTTTTTTCTAGCTTACTTCTTCTAACACCTCAATAACTTCCTCTTTGGGGCTTTCAATCCGCTGATCCTACTAACTTTTTACTGTTTCTCAGCTTTTGATTTTCTATTTTCCTCTTCCCACCCAGCCTGAATTCCAAGGTCTATAAATACAATGTTCTCTTAAATACATCATCAACTCCCTGGCCTCCCTCTCACTTCTCTGTACTTATTCCAATTCTCCCGACTTTTCTTCCTATCCGTTCCCAACTCTTTACAGGATCACCCCTTCTTTAAGCACCTGACAACTGCTCCCACATCCTCACACTCAGGTGATGACTTCACCTTAATTATAATATTAGATGCAATCAGAAGAGCATTTCCATTAACTCTCACTACCACAGGTACTCACTCATAGCACTTGCATCACATGCTCTGCATTCCCTCCTGTTATTAGAGATCTGCCCTATCCAAACAGTGGCCTCTAACACATATGGCTAGTAAGCACTCATAATGTATAACTAGTGCGACCAGGGAATGTAATGCTTAATTTTAATTAATTTAAAATGTAAAACTGATGCAGTGTAAATATTACACAGCTTCGTTGTTTTCATAGAACTCTATTTTCCATTTTAATGGTGGAAAACTTAGCATTCTAACTAAGATTGCCTTAAGTGCAAGATACAAACCGGATTTTGAAAATCTAGTATAAAAAAGAATGTAAATATTTCATAAATCATTTTTATACTGATTACATGTTAAAAGAACAGCTCCAGCAATTCTTCCCTCTCCCACATCACCCATTTTCCCTACTCTACAGGATCTTTCCCTGCAACACACAAACATGCTGTTACTTCTACCATGTTAAAAACAAAATCAACTCACTCTCAACCCACCTTTCCTCCAGTTACTGACCCATTTTTCTTTTGCTCCTCTTTGCAGTAAAACTCCTTCAAAGATTTATCTTTACTCCTAGTCTCCAATTTCTTCCCTCCCATTCTCTCTTGAACGGTTTTTGGCCGCCAGCACACCACTGAAACTGTTATGATGAAGGTTCTAACCTTCACATTGCTAAACCCTACAGCCAATCCTCAGTCCGTCTTTTTAATTGACCCGTAAACTTTGGGCAAAGTTGCCCACTTCTTACTCCTTGAAATTCTGTCATCCTCTGCTTCCATCACCCTCTCCTGGTTTTTCCTCCTCCCTCGCTGACAGCTCCTTTCAGTCTCCTTTTGCACGGTTTGCATCATCTTTTTGTGGGGGTAGGGGGAAAGGGTCTTCCTCTGTTCACCAGGCTGGAGTACAGTGGCGCGATCATGGCTCACCGCAGCCTCCGCCACCTGGGCTCAAGCGATCCTCCTGTTTCAGCCTCCCTCGTAGGTGGGACTACAGGTGCGTGCCATCACACCCAAGCTTATTTTTTGTAGGGGCGGGAGGGGTCTTGCTATGTTGCCCAGGTTAGTCTCAAAACTCCTGGGCTCAAGCAATCCTCCCGCCTCGGCTTCCCAAAGTGTTGGGATTACGGACGTGAGCCACCACACCTGGCTCATCTCTTAATTAACATCCGAGTCTCCGAGGCCTCAATCCTCGGACCCCGTCTGACTACGTACACCCACTCCCTTATACATTGGAGTCGACCTTGCCTCTTTCAACGCAAGTCAGTTCATGCTTACGACAACCACATCCACACTGGCAGTTAGGCCTCTCTGAACTAAGCCGGAGTGGGCAGTGGTCGGAGGAAAAAAGTTCTGGGACTGGTCTGCACTGAGCACTACAGGTGCACAGTCGGGGCGGGCCCGCGGGTTGTGGGATTCGGGAGTGGAGGCTTGGGGTGGGGATAGAGGCGTGCTCCTGACCTGCCGGATCGTCCGCAGCAGCGAGCCCAGCGTGGAGGCCGCCATGTTGTCTGCCTCAAGCTACAAACTGCTGCAACTTTATTGACATTGCCAGATACAGGAGGAAGTGAGGGGAGGGGCCTAGGTTGCAGGGGCGGTGTCTGGGCCTCAGGGGGCGGGGCGACGCAGCGGGGATGTGTTTCGGAATGTGAACTCTCGCGACATTTCACGAAAACGGGGCAAATGACACATTTGGGGGCGTTGCATCGGTGCTGGTGGCGCAGTGTGACGTTCCTCGCGTGTTGCAGCCCTCCTGTCTGTCTCACACACCCTCTTAAAGTACCTGTAACCCTGTCCACCTCCTTTTCTTCCGCCGGGTCCCCGCGTCCCTCTCGTCGCGTTCCGCGTGCTGCTCCTGCGTCCTCCGCCCGGGCCAGGGCACCCTCGCGCGCGCGGGGGTGGGGGTGATGGGGGGGGAGAGCGGCTCGTGTCCTCCGTCCCGCGGGGCTGCACCTCCCTGCCTCCCTCCGCGGTGGTGAAGACGCTTAATTTACATGTCTGAGTTTAAATACGTGTATTTTATGTATCTCCATCCTCCAGGGACCTCCACCTGTCCAGCCATCTGGAAACTTCTGAAAGCTTCTGTAAATAGCATTCGTAACTTTTTAAAAATTGTACGCCTTTGGGAGGCTGAGGTGAGTGGATTGCCTGAGCCCGCGGGTTCGAGACCCGGCTGGGCAGCGAGACCTCATCTCTACAATAAATCAAAAAATCAGCCGGGCGTGGTAGCGCATGCCTGTAATTCCGGCTCCTCGGAAGGCTGAGGCGGAAGGATCGCCGGAGCCCAGCAGGTCGAGGCTGCGGTGGCCGGGAGTGGCCACTGCACTCCAGTCTGGGCGACAGAGAGAGACTCCAACTCAAAAAATAAAATAAAATAAAATAAAAAATTGTAGTACAATACACATAACATAAAATTGACCATCTTAACCATGTTAAGTGTACAGTTCAGAGGCGTTATTTCAGAGGTTGACGTTGTACAGCCGTCACCATCATCCATTCTAGAACCTGTCTTCCACAACTGAAATGCTACCATTAAACCAGGGATCGCCAACCACTGGCCTGCTAGGAACCCTAAGACACAGCAGGGGGTGAGCAGCAGGCAAGCAAGGGAAGCTTCATCTGGACTTACAGCCATTTCCCATTGCTCACATTACTGCCCGAGCTGTGCCTCACTGAAAAGCCTGCTTTGGGTGGCTCAAGCCTGTATTCCCAGCACTTTGGGAGGCCGAGGCGAGAGGATTGTCAGAGCCCTCAGGTTCGAGAACAGCCTGGGCAACTCGGCCAGACCTCATCTCTACAATAAATCAGAAAATTAGCCGGGCGTGGTAGCGTGGGCCTGAAGTTCCAGCTATTTCGAAGGCTGAGGCGGAAAGATCGCCAGAGCCCAGCAAGTCAATGCTGGGGAGGGTGGTCATGAGCCTGCCACTGCTCTCCAGCCTGGGCTAGGGAGTGAGACTCCAACTCAAAAAAAAAAAAAAAAAAAAAAAAGCCTGTTTTTATTTCCAACAGCTTATCTTTGTGAAACAGGGTTTTCTGCAGTGACAGCAACCAAAACGAGATCAAGGAGTAGACTGGACATAAGCAACACACTTTAGGTGTCACTGTCTTCCAACACTCCCGGATGGGACTGTCTAGTTGCAGGAAAACAAGCTGAGGGTTCCCACTGATTCTGATGTATAAGGGAGTGAGTGTAGGTAGCATTATGGTGAGTTGTATAATTATTATATATTACTATGTAATAATAATAGAAATAAAGTGCACAATAAATGTAATATGCTTGAAATCATCCTGAAACCCCTCCCCCCATCCGTGGAAAAATTGTATTCCATGAAACCGGTCACTGATGCCAAAAAGGTTGGGGACTGCTGCATTAAGCAATAACTCCCCATTCTCCCTCCCCCTCAGCCCCTGGCACCCCCATTCTACTTTCTGTATCTGTGAATTTGACTACTGTAGGTACCTCTCCTACAAGTGAATCCATACACTTTTATGACTGCTTTCACTTACAGTGTCTTCAGGCTTCACCCATGTTACAACACGGGTCAGCACTTCTTTTCTGGTTGAATAGTGTTCCGTTGGATGGCTTGCCCACATTTTGTTTCTCTGTTTGTCTCCCTTGCTTTGCTCCCACCTTTTGGCTGTTGTGATTAATGCTGCTCTGAACATGTGTAGATAAATATCTTCAACAGCATTAGGATCTTTTCAGCGTTTTTTTTTTCACTTTATGACAAGATTAAAGCAACTTAATGGCTTGCAGGAGACAGGAAGCTCTGAGATAAGACTCGACGGTCCTCTTTAATTAATTGTGTGGGTTTTGTAAAACAGCCTGCGACTCCCTGCCAACCCAGCCCATGCAGCCTCCTTCCTTAGCATGTGAGGAAGTTTGGCAGAGCCTAGAGAAGACTCACTTTACCTTGAGTTCAGTTCTCCCTGGCCATTTGAGAGAATGTGGGGAAGGCCATTGGCCTCACTGTCTTAGAACCCGGTGAACATCATCATTTGCTCGTTTAATCATTCAATAAATATTGTTTAAGTGCTGCTATGTACCAGTGTGTAAGTGTGTGGCAAGCGGCTGGGAAGGCTGAGAAAACTCCCTGCCCTCCTGAGGCTTCTATTCCATTGGGGGTCACAGATTTAGATCCAGGTGGAGACTCCTACCAGTGCCAGTTATATGACCTTTCCCTTTTGTCTTTATTTCCCTTGAAGGCTTAAATGTGCATCTTGAGTGAATAGAATAAAATTGAAAAATGAAATATTTTAAAGTTTGATTGTGAGAGACAGTTCTAGTTGTCATATTGATCCTGGGCCTAGTTAAATAATAAAAATGATTGTATAGGTGGTGAAATTGAGACACAGACGCCAGGTAAGTTGCCAAGCTTGCTGAGCTAGCACTGGTCTAATGCCTGTACTCTTAATCCCCGCTCCGTGTTGTCTTCTGTTGAAGAGATGGCTCAAGGAGAAAGGCCTGACTGTTGTCACAGAATCCTTACTTATAAAATGTGTCAATTCATTAATGTATCTAGATTTCGTGCCATTTCAACCAAGATTCCAATGGAATTTTTCTTAGCAAAATAATTCTAAAATACATATAAAAGAATAAATGGATAGGAGGGAGGTACACAGCTATGAAATTAAAAAAAAAATAAAGACAATGACTAGTCTTACCAGATATTAATAAACCATGTATGATAGAGGTTGAGTAGTGTGGTACTGGGCCCAAAATAAACAGACAGACGAATGAAACTGAATGATAGGCTCGAAAGATATTTGGTTATATCAAAGGAAGCATACAAATTATTTAACAAGGGGTACTAGAATCACGGGGTAAAGATTTGGGAAAACTAAGTTGAACGTAGTGGCTCATGCCTGTAATCCCAGCACTTTAGGAGGCTGAGGTGGGAGAATTGTTTGAGCCCAGGAGTTCAAGACTAGCCTGGGCAACATAGTAAGACCTTGTCTCTACCAAAAAAAAAAAAAAGAGGAAAAATTATATTTTAAAATTACATCTTCATCCTTTACTATATATCAAAATAAATCTTAGATACATTAAAGAGGTACATACTATCAAAAGCTTAAAAAAGAAGGAAATACAGATGAAATATTTTTAAACATTTAAATCTTAGTAGAGAGTTCTCAGAATGTCTAATAGCAATAAAAGTGTTCAGCCCTGTTAGTTTTCCAAAGAATGCAAATTAACACATTAAGATTTATTTAAACTAGCAAATTAGCAAAGGTTTTAAAAAATTCAGTGTTGTAGGTGTGGGGAAGTGGGTAATTTCATATCCTATGGTAGGAATATAAATTGGCATAATTCATCTACAAAACAATTTGGCAAGAGTCTTTTCTTTCCTTTTTTTTTTTTTTTCTTTTTTGAGTAGGAGTCTCACTCTGTCGGCCAGGCTGGAGTGCAGTGGCATACTCACAGCTACCACAACCTCAACTTACTGGGCTCAGGCTATCCTTCTGCCTCAGCCTCCTAAAAATACTGGGATTACAGGCATGAGCCACGACGTCTTTTCAAGTTGATAATTATTGACCCTGTTATGCCACTTTGAGGAATAGATTCCAAGAAAATACTGAGAAATCCTAAATGTAGATATAAGGACACTCACCATGGGATTATTTATAATAAAAACAAATAAAGAACTAAAATCCAACAGTGAGGAGAGGTTTAAATGAATTAAGAAATAACATTTTATAATTCTAAGTTTAAAATCCATCAGTTTTCAAATTTTTAAGTATAAATACAGGTATACATTAGATGGATGGAAAAAAGATTAGAAGGAAACTCACTCAAATACTAAAAGTAAAGATGAGTGAGCAGATTACTGGTTACTTTATGGTCTTAAAATTTTTTCAATTTCCCTGTAATTTACTTGTATTACTTTTAGACTCATATGTTGAAATTGATTTTAAAATATTAATTGCTTCTCATCTTTTTATAGACTGTATTATTTCACCCAAAATATTGGAAAAATGCATTTTTCAAAGAGCATGAGGAAGGGGTCACTCCTGATCCCTATAACTATCCTCTGTTTATTCTTGCAGGGCACAGGCAGACCCCTGAAAAAGCGTCATAAAATTAGAGACCCAGAGATGCCTGCTTCATTGTTGTTTGGTACCAAGTCATTCATCCACCCTCCCTTCATCTGTTTCTCTGGCTTGCGTCCACCATCAAATAAACTGTTGCTTCTTTGGTGTTACCTAATCATACTTAATATCTGTTTTGGGGGAGGATTAATGATTCCTTTTAATTATTTTATAACATAAATAACAGAACTAATTTGGCTGCAGTCCCTGGAGTCGCACAATAAAACTACTTACTCGTTGTATGCTTGTCCCAAGAGTCTAGCCCATGCTGAGTCATCAGCATGCTTGGACCTGAGTCTCCTTCCTGTTCCACCCCTGCAGTGTCTCACAATGATGTTCTCCAAGAGGGATCATGACAGTCGGGTCTTCCACATGAGAGCCAGATATGGCTTGACTCCAAAGAACCAGACTTCTTAGACCGTGAGAGGGAACGACGGCTGGACGCAGTGGGTCACGC